CCAATGAAAAGTGTATTTCGATTTCACAATAACTTCGGGTTTGATCATTTTCTAAAAATCGCTAATCTAATGCGATCGGAATTAAGCCAATGAAATGTGATTTTTGATTTCAAGATAACTTTGGGTTTGATCTTTTTCTGCAAATTGCTAGTCTAATTCGATTTGAATCGAGCCATTGAAAAGTGATTTTGATTTCACGACAACTTTGGGTTCGTTCATTTTTGGCGAATTTGCTAGTCTAATTCGATTAGAATCGAGCTAATGAAAAGTGGCTTTCGATTTCATGATAACATCGGGTTCATTCGTCTTTGGCGAATTGCTCGTCTAATTCGATTGGAATAGAGCCAATGAAAAGTAGTTTTTGATTTCACGATAACATCGGGTTTGTTCATTTTTGGCGAATTGCTAGTCTAATTAGATTGGAATCGAGCCAATGAAAAGTGGTTTTGATTTCGTGATAACTTCGGGTTTGATAGTTTTCGATGAATTGCTAGTCTAATTCGATTGGAATCGAGCCAAAGTAAAGTGGTTTCAATTTCATGATAACTTTGGTTTTGTTCATTTTTTGCGAATTGCTAGTCTAATTCGATTAGAATCAGGCCGATGAAAAGTAGTTTTGGATTTCATGATAACATCGGGTTTGTTCGTCTTCGGGAAATTGTTGGTCTAATTCGATTGGAATCGAGCCAATGAAAAGTGGTTTTTGATTTCATGATGACATCGGGTTTGTTCGTCTTTAGGAAATTGCTAGTCTAATTCGATTGGAATCGAGCCAATGAAAAGTGGCTTTCGGTTTCATGATAACATCGGGTTTGTTCATCTTTGGCAAATTGCAACTCTAATTCGATTGGAATCCTGCCAATGAAAAGGGTTTTCGTTTGGGGTTTTCGATTTCAAGATAACATCGGGTTTGTTCGTCTTTGGCAAATTTCTAATCGAATCGAGCCAATGAAAAGTTGATTTTGATTTCATGATAACATCGGGTTTGTTCGTCTTTAGCAAATTGCTGGTCTAATTCGATTGGAACCGAGCCAATGAAGAGTGGTTTTTTATTTCATGATAAGTTCGAATTTGATCATTTTCAAAAATTACTAGTCTAATTCGATTGGAATCGGGCCAACAAAAAGTGGTTTTGATTTCATGATAACTTCGGGTTTTGATCATTTTCAGCGAATTGCCAATCTAATTTTTTTGGAATCGAGCCAATGAAAAGATGTTTTTGATTTAATGATACCTTCAGGTTTGTTCGTTTTTGGCAAAATGCTAGTCTAATTCGATTGGAATTGAGCCGATGAAAAGTTGTTTTTAATTTCATGATAACTTCGAATTTGATCATTTTCGAAAATTACTAGTCGAATTCGATTGGAATTGTATAATATCCCGAAATTTTATAGAATATAATTTAATTTTATTTATGCTATATTTTTAATGTTTTGAAAGTTTAGGGACTAAAGTGTATATAAAGTAAACTTTAATAATATTTAGATTAAAATATAAATATTGACGGGACGATGATAAGTATACGGATATTAGGCTCGTTGGATAGATAATAATTAAAGACGCATTTTAGACTCGAGAAAAAATTAATTTGGATTAGTCGAGCCCAAGTTATCGAAGCCGGGAGATATAACATTAAAATATTATTTTTATTACTTTTATTGTTGTAGGATTCACGTGGAGAGAGAAAGATGAAAGTTGTGGAGATATTTTATTTTTTTATTATAATTTATGGTTTTGAATTGTTATGGCAGGCACGTGATTTGTTAGAAAATATTGTATTTTATATTATTCCAAATTCAAATCCTTATCCAACTTTTTGTATAATCATTATTATACTATTCCTTGTGTAGCACAATTTTCACTTCTAGTTGCATCAGGATTCTTTTATTTTTTATTTCAAACACTCAGCAAAAGTCAAACTTCAGCCTACTTTTATTTCCAAAGCATAAAGAAGAAAAAGAAATACGTTTCTGGCAGCAGTAATCGAAAGCAAAAGTTTTGGAAAGAGATTTTGGATTTTTGCCTTTCATTATTTAATTTATCTAACAAGGTAGGATTACGAGGTGCAAGTGGGTTGTCCCATTTAAATTATTTCTTCACGTTTGATAAATATTATACTTATGAAAGTTATGATATGTGTAATGTGATTATGATATGTATGTTATGGCCATCCGGTACCAAAGATATGATATGATATAAACTCTTACTGGTTCTAAAGATATGATATAACGGTATGATATTTTGACGCATGATATAATATTTTTAATTGGGATTGCACAATTTCTCGTACCCTACTGAGTATTCCCATATACTCACCCTTTTCCTACTCCTCACAGGTTAGACCGGGTCGTGTTGGAGCGTGGTGGTTCGAAGGTGTGGTTGTGTCTTGTTTCGCCAAATAAAGATCTAAGTTAGCACGTAATGTTTATTTATTTTCAGTTTATTTTAGTAAACATTTATTTATTTACGAATAAATTCTCGTTCATGTTAGTTGCAGATGAATATACGTATTTTATGATTTTTAAATAGAAGTTTGAACTAAATGTTATTTTCCTTCCTATCGATTTGCAAATCTGTTCTTTCGTATATGTTGGGAAGAAAGAATTTAATAGTTTGCATGCCTATTTTTGTACTTTACTTTGATTTTTCCCAAATTGATGGAAATTTAGGGTCAACACAATGATTCCCTGCCACCCCCACACCTTCATTTGTGTCCCTTCACATCTATAGCATTAATTATGATATGAATTTGCTAGTTTTTGCTTGTACGTGTTAGTCATGAATCAATGTCTTGTTCGTAGTTTTTTTTTTGACATAAATGAATTCTGTTTTGGATTTTTTTTCTCTTTAATTGCAGTAAATAAACATTCTGTGGGTTATTTAATTCCATCTGTTGCCGTTGACTTAATTAAGTAACTAATTGAAATTATGCACTAGTTAGGGGGGAAATATTGTGTTATGAACCACTGTATTAATTATGCCAGGAGTTAGAAAGATTTTCATGTTGGATATTTATATTTTTAATTATTTATGGAATGACAGGTTTGGTAACGATTTCTAAATCTATATAAGATTTGGGTCGTTACAGTTTGGTATCAGAGCATAGGTTTAATTTCATGTAGACCCACATGGATTCTCATAATTTGTTTAAAAAAAAATTTGGGACGTGAACAATGACGGGTCACTGTTCACGCACTGTTCATGTGAACAGTGCATTAAATGGCAAAAAAAAAAAAAAGAGTTAAGAAACGTGTATTATAATGCCACTACCTTTTTCATCATATGGTATCTTTAAGTTTTCAAAATTTCAAGATTGCCCTTATAATTTTGTGAATGCATGCAAATATGCATTATTTTTCCTTAAAAAAAAATGTGTGATGTCATATAAATTTTGAATTTTCTTTTTTGTTACATGTTATAAAGGGCTTATTTGCTTACTTGTTTTCCTAGATAATATTTGTTTAAGGTTAATATTTTATTTATTTATTTATGAATTTAACGATAATATTAAATTAAAAGTTATGAAATATGTGAATGATCTTTGGCACTCAACGACCACCAATCGACCACCCTCCAACGACTCTAAGGTATGTAAAAAGGGTAAGAAGATAAATGTACTTAAAGCTTTTTGTGAGATTTAAATGCTTTAAATTTCCTATCTTTAAATGTTAAGACATGCACGTTTGTTTTTCCCACTAAATTATGATATATATTGTCATAGATAATTATAACTTATTAGACTTAGTACTAAGTGTGATTGGTGACTTCATATTAAATTTTAGGAAATGGCAACACCTACTCATACGAATTTGATGTGCGGTTTACTACGAGCGGTACAAGAGTTGAGCAGGAAAAATCAAGCACCTCCACCACAAAAATGCACCGCCACAGCAGAATGCACCGCATTTTGCCCCTGGAGCTGTCTCAATGGTTGAGCAGTTTCATAGGTACAAGCCTTCCACTTTCGACGGTAATTCTGAACCACTGGTTGTCGAAGAGTGGATAAGAGGCCTGGAGCGCATATTTCGACACATTGCTTGTACGGATGCACAGAAAGTATTATGTGCAGAATTTATGTTGATTGGAGCAGCTGGTCACTGGTGGGAATCTGTTTCACGTACAAGGACGGAAGAGCAGCAATGTAATCTGACTTGGGAGCAGTTTAAAGATGAAGTGATGGCAAAATATTTCCCACAGGCTTTGAGAGATTTCAAGGAATCAAAATTTTTGCAGCTCAGACAAGGGAGTATGTCACTTACTGATTATGAAAGACAGTTTGAGCAGCTCTCAAGGTATGCCCCGCACTTGGTGGATACAGAAGTTAAGAAGATTAGGAGGTTCGAGAATGGACTGCGCCCTGAGATCGGCATGATCATTATGTCCCATCGTTTCACCTCATAACGTGAAATGTTGGAGAGGGCTCATGCTATTTCATATCAGAGGACCTCATTTCAACAGTATGCCCAGCAGAGCAAGGAGTCATCGAGAAAAAGAAAGTGGAATGATCCAAACAAGGACAGACGTAATTGGCATAGTAAAAGGCCAAACACAGGAGTTCTTATTGGTGGAACGAGTGGGAATATTACACCGTGTCCTAAGTGTAATAAACTCCACAGGGGTGAATGTTTACTCGGGAAGAACATGTGTTTTCGATGTGGTAAGCCAGGGCACATTGCTCTCAACTGTACAGAGCCACCAAAAAGGAAGGATGATGATCAGGACAAGAACAAGAAAGGAAAGGCCCGAGTTTTCGCACTAAATCAGCATGAGGCGGAGCAGGATCCGAATGTGATAGCAGGTACTAAATTATTTAATATTTTAACACACTTGCTTATGTTCTTTTTTTACCTAGGACTACACATTTTTCCAAATCCGTCCCTTGGTTGTTAGTCTAATACTAAAAATTATGCAAACAGGTATTCTGTTATTATCTGATGTACCCGCTTACGTACTTTTTGATTCTGGGGCTACCAATTCTTTTATCTCTACATCCTTCGTCGCTAGGTCAGACCTTGCATGTTTGAAAACGAATTACGAATTAGAGGTTAGCATCCCTTCAGGAAGAACTCTTTGTACAAATCTGATGACTAAGGCTATGAAGTTAGAGATTGATGGGAAAATATTACAAGCAGACTTATACCTTTTGGAGATGAAAGATTTCGATGTTATTTTGGGCATGGATTGGTTGGGACTTAATCATGCGACCATTCGATATCATGAGAAAGAAGTATTGTTTCACAAACCGTGAGAGGAAGAGTTTCATTTCTTAGGAGCAAATTTCAAGTCTTTAACGCACCTAATATCAGCTATGCAAGCAAAAAAGATGTTAAGGAAGGAGTCATGCCAGGGATTCTTAGTTAACATCAATAGTTCTCAACATACAGAAATGACCGTTAATGATATTAACATCGTCTGAGACTTTGCAGATGAATTCCCAGAAGATTTGCTAGGCATTCCACCAGATAGACAAGTGGAATTTACAATTGATTTAGTTCCTGGAGTGGCACCAGTATCTAAGGCCCCGTACCAAATGGCACTGAAAGAACTACAAGAATTGAAGTTGCAATTAGAGGAGTTACTGGAGAAAGGTTTCATACGACCAAGTGTATCTCCTTGGGGAGCACCTGTACTTGTTGTCAAGAAGAAGGATGGGAGTATGAGGATGTGTATTGACTATCGGGAATTGAACCATCTGACCATCAAAAATAGGTACCCACTGCCAAGAATAGAAGATTTGTTTGACCAGTTAAGGGGTGCTACAATATTTTCAAAGATCGACTTGAGGTCAGGGTATCACCAGCTAAAAATCAGGGCAAGCGATATACCGAAAACTGCTTTCAGGACTCGTTATGGGCATTATGAATTTACTATCATGCCTTTTGGTTTGATCAATGCTCCAGCTATATTTATGGATCTCATGAATAGAGTATTCCATCAGCATTTAGATCAGTTCGTCATAGTGTTTATTGATGACATACTTGTGTACTCAAAAGACAAGAAGCAACATGAGGAACAACTTCGAATTGTACTTGAAACTTTGAGGAATGAGAAATTATATGCCAAATTCAAGAAGTGTGAATTTTGGCTTGACCGTGTAGGTTTTCTTGGTCACGTGGTTACCACCCAAGGAATCGAAGTAGACCCCGCTAAAGTGGAAGCAGTAACAAATAGGCCAAGGCCGATTGGTGTGGGTGAAGTCCGCAGTTTCTTGGGATTGGCTGGTTATTATAGAAGATTCATTGAAGGCTTCTCAAAAATAGCAGGGCCAATGACTCAGTTGACAAGAAAGGGTGCAAAGTTTCAGTGGACAGAAAAATGTGAAAAATGTTTTCAAGAACTCAAGCAGAGGCTAGTCTCAGCTCCTGTATTGACGATACCTGAAGGTTCAGAGGGATTTGTTATTTACAGCGATGCCTCTAAGCAGGGTTTAGGCTGTGTACTAATGCAGCATGGAAATGTGGTTGCTTATGCCTCGAGACAGTTGAAGCAGTATGAACAAAACTATCCAACGCATGACTTGGAGCTTGTAGCAGTTGTTCACGCCTTAAAGATATGGCGTCATTATCTTTACGGTGGGAAGTGTGAAATTTATACGGACCACAAGAGTCTCAAATACTTTTTCACACAGAAGGAACTAAATATGAGACAGAGGAGATGGTTGGAGTTAGTGAAGGATTATGACTACACAATTCATTACCATCCAGGTAAGGCTAATGTAGTTGCAGATGCCCTAAGCAGAAAGACAGGAACACAGTTAGCAGTTTTACCCACAGTACAGGAACACTTGATAAGGGAGTTTGATAAATTGAGATTAGAAGTTATCACGCTGCCAACTCAGATTTCAGCGAGAATAAGAGCATTCATGATTCAACCTACACTTCGAGATCGAATAAGGAGGCACAAGATAAAGATCCATTTTTACAGAAGATAAAGGCCGAGTTGGTATAGATAAACATATAGGGTTTGAAGTATCTGTAGATAATGCGCTAACTTTCAAAGGAAGACTGTGTGTACCTAAGGATGAAAGTATAAGAAATGAGATATTAGAAGAGGCTCATTCAACCCCTTATTCTGCTCACCCAGGTGGTACGAAAATGCACCGAGATCTCCGGGATGTATTTTGGTAGAGAAACATGAAGAGAGGAATTGGTCTGTTCGTAGAGAGATGTATTATCTGTCAACAGGTTAAGGCAGAACATCAAAGGCCATCAGGATTATTGAAACCCTTGGATATTCCAGAATGGAAATGGGAACACATAACGATGGACTTTGTAGTAGGCCTCCCGAGATCAGCAAAAGGTCACAATACTATCTGGGTAGTGGTGGATCGTCTGACGAAGTTAGCCCATTTTCTTCCAATTAAAGTAAACTTTAACTTGGAACAGCTGGCACACTTATACATCAGGGAGATAGTCAGGTTGCATAGAGTCCCAGTCACCATTGTTTCAGATAGAGACTCGAGGTTCACATCTAAATTTTGGAAAAGTTTGCAGATAGCCATGGGGACGAAACTGAAGTTTAGCACAGCTTATCATCCTTAGACGGATGGACAATCAGAAAGAACCATCCAAACTTTGGAAGATATGCTAAGGGCATGTGTTTTGGATCTTGGAGGTAGTTGGGAGACATACCTGCCGTTAGTGGAGTTTGCTTACAACAATAGTTTTTAGGCCACTATAGGAATAGCCCCGTATGAAGCTCTTTATGGTAGAAAGTGCAGATCCCCTTTCCATTGGGATGAAGTCGGGAAAACAGAATTTTGAGTCCAGAAATCATTGAGCGAAAAGTTGAGGCAGTGGATAATATTAGGGCAAGAATAAAGACAGCACAAGATCGACAGAAAAGCTATGCTGACAGTAGAAGAAAGGATTTAGAATTTCAAATAGGTGACAAAGTCTTTCTAAAGGTAGCACCAATGAAGGGTGTATTGAGATTTGGAAAGAAAGGGAAGTTGAGACCACGGTTTGTCGGACCTTTCGAAATTCTTGAAAGGATTGGTAGTTTAGCTTACAGACTTGCCTTGCCACCTGAACTAGCAACAGTGCATAATGTGTTCCATGTTTCGATGCTCAGAAAATATGTTCATGATCCCAATCATGTGGTAAGTTATCAGACATTGGATGTACAAAAAGATCTATCATATGAAGAAATTTTGACGGTAATTTTGGAAAGAAAGGTACATCAACTCAGGAAGAGAGGAGTTCCATTGGTTAAAGTGCAATGGCGAAATCATAGACGAGAGGAATCAACTTGGGAGAAAGAAGAAGAGCTTAGAACTAAGTATCCAGAACTTTTCGATTAACCAAGGTAAATTTTCGAGGACGAAAATATTTGAGGGGAGATTATAATATCCCAAAATTTTATAGAATATAATTTAATTTTGTTTATGCTATATTTTTAATGTTTTGAAAGTTTAGGGACTAAAGTGTATATAAAGTAAACTTTAATAATATTTTGATTAAAATATAAATATTGACGAGACGATGATAAGTATACGGATATTGGGCTCGCTGGATAGATAATAATTAAAGACGCATTTTAGACTTGAGAAAAAATTAATTCGGGTTAGTCGAGCCTAAGTTATCGAAGCCGGAAGATATAACATTAAAATATTATTTTTATTACTTTTATTGTTGAAGGATTCACGTGGAGAGAGAAAGATGAAAGTTGTGGAGATATTTTATTTTTTTATTATAATTTATGGTTTTGAATTGTTATGGCAGGCACGTGATTTGTTAGAAAATATTGTATTTGATATTATTCCAAATTCAAATCCTTATCCAACTTTTTGTATAATCATTATTATCCTATTCCTTGTGTAGCACAATTTCCACATCTAGTTGCATCAGGATTCTTTTATTTTTTATTTCAAATACTTAGCAAAAGTCAGACTTCAACCTACTTTTATTTCCAAAGCATAAAGAAGAAAAAGAAATACGTTTCTGGTAGCAGTAATCGAAAGCAAAAGTTTTGGAAAGAGATTTTGGATTTTTGCCTTTCATTATTTAATTTATCTAACAAGGTAGGATTACGAGGTACAAGTGGGTTGTCCCATTTAAATTATTTCTTCATGTTTGATAAATATTATACTTATGAAAGTTATGATATGTGTAATGTGATTATGATATGTATGTTATGGCCATCCGGTACCAAAGATATGATATGATATGAGCTCTTACTGGTTCTAAAGATATGATATGACGGTATGATATTTTGACGCGTGATTTAATATTTTTAATTGGGATTGCACAATTTCTCGTACCCTACTGAGTATTCCCATATACTCACCCTTTTCCTACTCCTCACAGGTTAGACCGGGTTGTGTTGGAGCGTGGTGGTTCGAAGGTGTGGTTGTGTCTTGTTTCGCCAAATAAAGATCTAAGCTAGCACGTAATGTTTAT